CAGACTGTGGCCAAACTATGAAGAAATATGAATGTAATAATTTTTCTTTTTGTAATTATAGAACATCAAAATTTTTTTGATTAGAGGAGTTACAGAGATGAGGTCAACGTTTTATAAAGATAACTTGTCCCAAGATGGAGGACAGAAGAAAAAGTAGACAGATGCTGGAGGCAGGAAAAATAAACAGCAACTTATTTGCCAAGGGAGAGAACCAATGACAACATGTCACAGAAAGGAAGCAACCAGTTTCATAGATGCTGTGAAGGTTTGGTGAAGAACTGTATGGCTGGGATGAGAACACTCAGCATTTAATAAAAGTTCTAAATGTCTTGTTTAAAGTTAACAATGTGTTAAGAATTCAGTCAATAATAAATGTAAATGCTTTCATCTGCTTATATAAAATATAGGCGGTAAGTATATTCCCTTAAAAATATTAGTAATCTCAAATATCAACAATTATAACATTTTGACTTCCCTTTAAATATATTATACACAAATTTTTAAATAATCCTTGAGTGAATCAATGTTATTTAGCGGGAGAATTTTCTTTTAAGCCATTTTTTATGCTTGTATTGGTTTTCCTCCTACCTTTTTGGACATTTACAGTCAATTTTTCACCAGTAAAAATATTATTTTACTCTAATCAACAAATATAAAAATCTCAAAGCAAATCAAAATTATTTCTTGTAAATATTTATGACGCTTTTTGTTCCCCAACATCAATACTATATCCTACATGTAGATTTTGCGCTAAATGAATCAGCCTATACATTTTTTTTGCTTTTGTGTGGTCATCCTTTATATATCAAAATTATTTAAGCATTTGGGTCATGCAAGTAAATTAATGAGTCATTTCCACTGATTAGTAAATTCGCACTATGTGACCTTGTGAAGGACTGCCCATAGTCATTGTTATAGGTTTATCTGTATGCACTAGTCGAAAAAGTTATTCACATTATGATTTATTTATGTATAATATTATTTGGCTTTAGTAAACTGTTCATTCTCTTCAAGTTCTGAATTCTCAGATGATATATATTTTTTAATTTTTTCTACTTATTGGTTTACAATGTGTGTAAATGTTTACAACACACTTAAATAAACCATGGTGATTATGTCTGGGTGAAAGTTAATGATTTGTCAGTGCTGATTGGGAAACAGGAAATTAAAAGACGACAAGTGTAAATCCTTTGGGATTTTTTTTGTGTAATAAATGCTCTAATAAATAGAATGCAGCTTTTTAAACACCAGCAACTCTTAATGAACACAAAGTTATGGATCCAGTGCTACTAAGTTACGGGTCTTAAGCTACAAATTAAGAGCTGTGGAAACTAGAAGCAGCTTAGGTCTAGAGGGCGGGGGTGCTGGAAGGAAGACAGGGAGGAAGGGAGTTCAAGGCCTCTGTCACTTTGAATCTGATATCCATCGCATGCTTTACGGTCTCTTCCTCAGCCTGAAGAAAAATAGCAAAGTTATAGGCTGGTCTTGGAACCCTGAGATTTTTATGAGGTGTGGCATCTTGGTCAGGGTCTCCAGAAGCAGAGCTGAAGCAGAGATTCTTAGGCAAGGGATTTATGGACAGAGTGCTCTCGGGAGAAGAGGAGTGAGAGGCTAGGACAGGGGAGACAACTCAGCAAGTACTGCTGTGGTGGACTCTAGAGCTCCAACTGCACCACACATTGGTCCCTGGTGAAGGCAAGGAGTTCAGCCTTTGGCTTCCTATCAGTCAGGCATTGGCTAAAGCCTATGGGGAAATGGGGGCTGGGGGGTCATCACCTCACAGGAAGGCAGCTCCCTTGAGGCCCAGGTTGATGCTCCAGAGCAGGGTGCAACTGAGGTGTTTTGCACTAGCTGGTAAAGGGCACTGGGCCAGCGCAGCAGCAACCCTGCCCATGGGTGTCTACTTATGATCACCGCCTCTTTCACAATGATCCTAAGGCAGAGGAAAGATGCTGTGTTTGTCATAAGGGGAGCTGGTGGGATGACAGGGCAGGGACGAGGACAGCAGGAGGAGATGATTATGAGTTGAAAAGCCCATATCTAGATGAAGGAGTGGCAAAAGGTGGGTATGAATGAACAGGTTCCATGAAGGGAAGGAAGCAGAAGAGAAGATGTGCTGTAGAAACACTTTATTGCTGCATTTAAAGAGAGTGGCAGGCAGGCAGCACAGCCAGGCATGAGCGAGGCAGGTAGGGGTGGTGAACCAGCCACCTGCACAAACACAGCTGGAAAAAGTTGTTCATTCATATGCACCTGCCCATGAAGCCCTGCCAACCAAACTTTCAGAGCACAGACCTCTCTCAGCCTTCACCAACTTTTAAAATGACTCCCCCATCTACCACTTTCTGCGTGAAGTGAAAAAAGGCACATGAAAAGGATTTAGGCTTTGTAATATATAAAGCTCTTCTACTTTTTCTAATCTGTTTAAAGGATTAGTAAGAAAAGTAAATCTCTTCAGACATAAATGCTTAAATTCTTTAGGATTCTTTGATACACTTTTTAATTAACTAGGAGAATCTATTGCAGAGTATATTTGTGTGTATGTAAAGCAGTCATTGCAAAATTTAAGTTACGGGAATAAGAACTTACATAGTATTTTACCTGAAATATATGAAACCCAGAGTAAAAGCAATATTCCCAAAGGAAACCCAGCTTGCTTCATTGAATAAGGCAATCCTGGAAAAACACAAAATGCCCCATCCCTCACATTAATACGACAGCTACAAAAACAGAAGTTTCCCCCCAATTTCTGCATGTCATAGGTAAATTTACATGACATATTTGTAAGCTGTGCATAGGAGGGTACCAAAATTAAATGTTAGCATACTAGCACTTATTTCAGAATAGATGTTATTAAGTTAGGGACAGGTCAAGAAAGCAAGTTTATGAGGTGAAGGAATAAGAATTAGAAAGCAGCAAATAAAAAATAGATGCCAGTTCACACAAATAATGTGTACATCAGGGTAAGGGTGACATATGCCCTAGAATATGTGGAAAGTAGTGACCCCAAATCCTTCCTCATGTGCTAGGCAGGAGAGCAGAGGGGATCATAAGGAGCACAGAAGGTTATGGAATATTAAGTAAGACAGACTCTGGAGTCAAAAGGGGCAACAATGCAGGAAAAAAGGAGAGAAAAATGAGAAGACAAAAGTATTTCATATAAAGCTCAAGGGAGTATATGAAATTATTTTTTATGATATTGGGGGAATGGACCATTTTAGATTATGGACAATAAAATATTTAAAACAAATGTAGTTAAAATATTTCCACCCAGAATTTTTCTTCTCTGAAAAATTTTGCCTTTAAACAAAAACCAAAAAAAAAAAAAAAAAAAAAAAAATAGCCATGCTGCTGAACATAATTAAGTGGTAATTTTGAATGTTGCTGACGTGGATCAGCTTAAAGTGTTCATAACAGGAATTAGCTCTAGAATTTTTGCAAGCAGAGCTGCCCACACCATCATATGTGGATGCAGAATTTTAAACAAGTCTTTACCTCTGCTTGCTTCTACTTTACCTCAGGTAACTCCACTTCATGTATCATTTGAAAAATAAAATCTATGTATGGAAAAATGTAAAAACCTAGCAGCATATCTGTTTGTGTAAAGAAAAGTAACTCAATCCAGATAAATGTTCACTTTTCAGAAGATGATGATGGAGACTTACATATCAAAATTTTGTCATAAAATGTTATATTCTCAATCAATATTGCAGTTTGCAGGATTGTGTTTTGACTCTCCCTTTTCTGAAATG